AAACGCTACGCAACGAGCGAAACATGTAGCCGAACGAAAACTTTGCTTTGCATGTTTACAGAGCAATCACAGTTTTCGTAATTGTAGCAAGGCCAGAAAGTGCCCCAAGCCAGGTTGTGAAAGCACGCACAACGTGCTCTTACATGGAGCTGAGAAAATTTTTCCTCCTAAGGATACTAAAAGTTCCCCGGCGTCAGGTAACGCAAACACTAAACATGTATCGACTAACGCTGCCGTCGGCGATATTCATAGCCAGGAGTCAACTAAAGGCCTCCTGCCAGTTGCATCATTCGCCGTCTCTTCGGATGCGACGATTACTAATGCCCTAGCTCTTTGCGATAGTGCTTCCACGCACTCATGGGTATCTGCCGATCTCGTAAAACGCCTCCATTTGGTTGGCACTCCCGTTAACCTCACCATAATTGGATTTAATTCCACGAGCTTGATAAAAACTCATCAAGTAAGTTTTCAAGTGTCCGCCGAAACGCATAATTGTGAATTTTTGTTTTCTTTTCGAGCTTATGTTAAGGATCATATTCGTATTGGATCGGATAGCATAAGCATTCCTGAATTACAGGAAAAATACACGCAGTTGGCTCCGATCAAACCTATACATTATAAGTATGAGGACGTCGAAATAATTATTGGACAGGATTTCTACCATGCCATAAGACCCGTTGAGTACCTTTTTGGGGAGGACTCTATTTCACCGTGCGCCGTACGCCTTCCGATAGGTTGGGTTTTAAGTGGTCCGTTACCGCCGTCCTTTAAGTCGAACTCGTCTTGCTTTAAGTGTGTTGTCGAAGACATGTCTCTTGCGGACCAAATTAAAACTTGGTATGAGTTGGAGTCATATGGAGCCTTCAAGCAGGTAGATGCCCGTTCCGCCGCCGACAAACGCGCTTTGTCCGTTTTGAAAAATGACACCTTTCACGATGGTGAGAGGTACATTGTACCAATGCTTTGGAACGATAAGGAAAGTAGTTTACCGAATAACTATTTTTCCTCCTTAGCTCAATTAAAGTCTTTGGAAAAGAGGCTAGATAAGGATCCGTCGCTCCGTGAAAAATACGCCGAAACAATAAGAGAAGATATACAAAAGGATATGTCATAACCGTTAAGGCACACGATCCCAAATCACGAGCCGATCGTGAGTGGTATCTCCCGCATCACCCGGTGTTGAACCCGAATAAACCCGGTAAGGTGCGCCGAGTCCTCAATGGGGCATCGAAGTGTCATGGTGCTTCCTTGAACAAATCTCTGTTGGTTGGCCCGGATCTCCTTCAAAACCTCATTTTTGTACTTATAAGATTCCGTCAGCATAAATACGCCGTTTCAGCTGACATTGAAGGGATGTTTTTACAGGTTGGAGTCCGTGAAGAAGATCAACCTTCTCTTCGTTTTTTGTGGCGGGAGGACCCCACATCAAGTGTGGTAGTTCACCAATATACGCGTCACATTTTTGGTGCTCGTGACTCGCCGACTTGTGCGAATTTTGCTTTGCAGAAGACTGCAACGGATAATCAAGCTGAGTACCCCGAAGCTGCTTCGGCTGTTGTCCAGAAGTTCTATATGGATGATTATCTGGATTCTTTTCAAAACAGGGATGACGCCTTGAAATTAAGTAGGGATTTAGTCTCGTTGCTTAAACTAGGTGGGTTTCATCTGACAAAATTTGTCAGCAACGTGCCCGAAGTAACAACCGCTCTTGATCCGGACAACCGTGAGTCCAATTCGTCTGTTAAAGATATTTGTGCGAGTCCAGACCAGTCGTCGCATGTTCTCGGTCTTAAGTGGGATCACGTAAAAGATACCTTAGTCGTTAGTAGAGGGGTTGATCGTCCACTAGACAAAGCAATCACTCAGCGTACCGTGTTGAGTTTTGTTTCCTCTGTTTTTGATCCAATTGGGTTAGTGGCTCCGTATACCGTGAAGGCTCGCCTTCTATTAAAAGATATCTGGCGAATCAGCGGTCAAAAATGGGACGATGATCTGCCAGAGGAAATCAAGAAGCAATTCCTTGAGTGGCACTCAGGCCTTCATTTGTTAGGTTCTCTGACAATACCTCGCAGCTATTTCACTGAGCCTTTCGACCGAATAGAACTTCACATGTTCGGTGATAGTTCGCAGGATGTTTTCTGTGCCGTCGCTTTCCTTCGTGCGCGACTTGCTGGCTCCCATCAGACCGAATTAGCCTTTGTGTTTGGCAAAGCCCGCGTCCCGCCTATGAAAGCGCTTTCTATTCCAAAGTTAGAGCTTCAAGCAGCTCTTCTTGCAACCCGCTTAAAAGAAGAAATTTTGAAAGGTCTCACTTTCAAAGTTACGGATACTTTCATGTGGACAGATAGTACCACTGTTCTTCAGTGGCTTCACTCTTGTAGTAAACTACCCGTTTTTGTTGGTAATCGCACTGGTGAGATTCTGGAGTCTACCACCACTGATCAGTGGCATCACATACTTAGCGGTGATAACCCAGCTGATACCGGTACACGAGGGATTTCTTCGGAAGCCCTCAAGGAAAGCAGCTGGGTTAATGGCCCTAGTATATTGAGAACAACTGATTGGCCGTTCAAGCCCGATACAAGGGTTATCGATAAAATAAGACTCAAAGGACCATCATGTGATATCGACATTTGTCTGGAAAATTCGTCAAATTTTGTCGTCGATGTTTTGAAAGAAAAAAATCTTCCCTTCGGAAAATGGGAGAGATTCAATTCAATTGTAAAATACAAACGCACAGTAGCATTTTTATTAAGATGGCTGCCATCCCATAAACATTTCCGGTCGAGTACCTTAGAAATTACAGACCCGTGTGAAATGGATATTGCTGAACAGAAGCTCATTTACCTGTCCCAGGGTGAAACATTCCCTAATGAGCTAAAACTAATAAGATCCGGTAAAGTTATCACGAGGAATAGTCGGATCGCCAAGTATTCGCCGTTCATTGGACCAGCTGGCATCCTTCGCTCGACTGGGCGCATCAGCCGCTTGGTTAATTCCGATTTCGATAGCAAGCATCCGATTATACTTGATGCACGTCACGCGGTTGTTCGGTTATTGGTTCAGCACTTGCACGTTAGGAATTTCCATCAAGGCTTGGATTACATGCGTGCGTTGGTTAATCTGAAGTACGTCGTGTTAAATTTGCGATGGTTGCTGCGAAACATTGAAAATACTTGCGTCGTGTGCCGAAAACGCAAAGCGCAAACCGTAACTCATATGATGGCTGATCTGCCCATTGAAAGGCTGGGTTACAAGCAGCCTCCGTTCACTAACACAGTTGTTGACTACTTTGGGCCGTTCCTAGTTCCAATCCAGAGAAGTACGGAAAAGAGGTGGGGTTTTTTGTTCACCTGTCTCACCACTAGAGCGGTGCATATTGAAGTAGTCCCCTCGCTCGACACAAGCTCTTGTGTTATGGGCGTGGAGAGGTTTATTGCACGTCGCGGTACTCCGACCACTATCATGTCCGACAACGGAACGAACTTTGTTGGCGGTCAGAAAGAGCTCTTAGCTTGCATTGAGAGATGGAACAAGCTCGCACCCGCTGTTTTTGTTCAGAAAGGGATCAAGTGGAAATTCAATCCACCCAGCGCACCGCACCATGGTGGCTCCTGGGAGCGATTAGTTCGGAGTGTCAAGCGCGTTTTGTATGACATCTTAGGCAACAGAAGAGTAACTGAGGAGGTTCTAAGAACCACGCTGTGCCTTGTTGAGCAATCACTCAACGCTAGACCAATAACAGCCGTTAGTTCCGATCCGCTAGATTTAGAGGCGTTGACCCCGAATCATTTTATCCTTGGTCATCACGCAGCGAGTTTTCCGTCGCTAAGTTTGGAAGAAAACTTCGACCATAAGAAGCGGTTCGCCAGAGCGCAATCATACGCTAACGCAATATGGATACGGTGGATGCGGGAATACGTTCCTTCCCTCAATAGGAGGGCAAAGTGGCACAACCAGTCAGACGTTAAGTTGAAAGCCGGTGACTTGGTTTGGGTCATAGAGCCTGACATTCCACGTGGACATTATCCACTCGCACGTATCCTAAGACTGCACTATGGCAAGGACGGATGCGCGCGATCCGCCGACATAAAGACCGTTACGAGCGAACTGACCCGCCCGACCGTAAAGCTCGCTCCCGTTCTTCCTTGTTTAGGGGTGGAGGATGTTGCAGCGCAAATATAAAACAATAGTACAAATGCATATAAACGTAAATGTGCGAGAGTATAAATGCATATAAAAGTAAATGCATACAGGGACAGTAGCCAAGCGTATACATGGTGCGTCCCGGCGGGTTCGGCGCCGGTTCGAATCCCGACTAGGTCATTTCCTTTCTAGAACTCGAATATGCACCGAACTTGATGGGATGCTCCGTAACCAGGTTCGATCCCCCCCAAAACCGATTTTAACCGTCTTTTCGCTCTAATTTGGTTCAGCCTTGATTAAGGCTGACCTTTAAAAAGAGCAATTTGTCTCAAGGACAAATACTGGCCATTTTTGCAGCTTGCTTTGAGTTATGCAGTTTTTTGTGTCCGATGTTACCGATAACAATAAAAAAAGTTTGTTAAAAATATCATTATATTACGAAATTTCCAGAGTTATTTTCCCGATAAAATACTCGTTAATTCAAGTGTTTGAAAAGAGATTTTATTACGAAGTGTGGAGATTGGCGCGCACAATCTTACAATGAATGATAACTTTCTGTCGTCCTCCTCGCTATCGGTGGTGAATTGGTTTCGTCTCAGCCTCGCAATCGAAAGGTCGGATGTTCGAGGCCCACCATGATCCGTGCTCGTTGCTTGAGGGTGAGGCAACATTACCCAGCCCAGAAAAATAACCAAAATAAAATTACATGTAGTTCTTAAACAGGGGCACACCAGCGGTTCGCCGTTTTGAGCTGTACAGCTTGTATCTTTGTCCTATCCCTCGTGGATAAATGATCTTAAATTAATAAATCGAACAGTTTATTTTTTTTTTCATTTCTCTTCTCTTCCCTGCAGATAGAGCAGTTCAACTTGGAGGAGGAGTCTTTCGGGTGGCAGACTACGAACTACCCCACCAGACAGGAACTGTGGAACAAGCTCATGCCCTACCTCAGTCTCTACTCCAGTAGTGTCAAGTACCTGGACTACTACCAGGCAAGCACAACCCAAACTACAAGATAATATGCTCAAAAAGCAGAGCAGCAGACATATAATAAATTTCTTAGCTATTTTTTTATAGAATTTTTTTTCTAAGGGATTGGGGAGCAAAAAGACAAGTACTTAATAGTGTGTTGACTTAGCCAGCAGACATATATCTTGTTTTCAACTACACATTTTTGAGAATGCCGGAACAAATCGGCGTCATTTTGTCAAAATTTTTAAAGGAGCGACATTTTCAATATTTTTTTTGTTTTTTTTTAGATTCAGCTTAATAAAAAGAAACACACATAGCACTGTTGTATTTTTGGTTCAAAAAACTTAATTAATTCATCCATTATTTTGATTTATTCTTTTAGTGAAAACATTTTTCTACGTCGGTAAAAACAATCAGAGCTAAATTGTGATTTTTCTCAATCTCTAATCTAATCGATAAAGATTATTCTCACCTCGAATTTTGGGACAACACTTTGAACTCTACTGACCTTTACCAGGAGTGGACGAATGGATGCTACAACAAAGTGGACCCTGACTTGGTCGAGTCTGAAGTGGGCAATTTGTGGCGTCTGCTATACAAACTGGAGAAAACAGGTACGAATACAAAGTTGCATCAATCTAAAATAAAAGGCTTATGAACAAAAAAAATGTTCACATAATTTTCATGGAAAAAAATGCAAAAAGAACAAATAAATTCAAAAGTTGAACCAAATTTTCAAAAAAAACCGCTAACTATTGCAACTAATTTTGCCTGTTTTTGTGTTTGCGCTCGCACTTTTTCTAATAAATTGGTAACAATAAACCAATAAACGTAACATGATCGTTTTCCCCAACTTGTTCAGCGGAGTCCCCCGTGGCGAAGGAGATGGCGGGTAAAGTGAAACAGAAGGTGGAGGACTTCAAAGAGCACCTCCCTCTGGTGTCCAGTCTCTGCAACCCCGGAATGAGAGACAGACATTGGTCACAGGTGGGGACACTTTCATTAAATACTAAATGACAAAAAGAGAAGTTTTGCTGGAGGCCCAATTTTCAGTTGTTAATTTTTTATTTTGTTATACTCGTTGTACTTTTTTGTACTTTTTTAGAATTTTTTCTCGGAAAAGTTTGTTCCAAGTTTTTGAAACAATATAAATCGTTTGCGAAAATTTTCAACCTTAGAAAAATGACAAACTTACAATTGTTCTCTTTTTAAAAAAAAAAAATATCAGAAAAAGAAACTTATCGTTGCATAGAACAAAAGCATTTCATGGAGAATTACTAATTTTTCCTCTCCGGTAAATATAATTAAGAAACAAGATTGAATTCTCAAATAATTTCTGCAGAAAGTAAAATATTTTTGTGGGCCAACAACTGCTTTCTTTTTCAGGTGTCCGATATAATCGGCTACACTCTCCAGCCAGACGAATCAACCACCCTCTCCTCCTTCCTAGTGATGAAACTGGAACCCTTCCTGGAACAGTTCGAGAGTATCTCAGAGGCAGCCAGTAAGGAGTACTCGCTTGAGAAGGCACTGGAGAAGATGCAGATTGAATGGGATGAGATTGAGTTTAATTTGTTGGCTTACAGGGAGACTGGAACTTGTATTCTCTCTTCAGGTAATAATAATTGATTTTTCAAGAAGCAGTAAAATGAGAAAAATGAAAAAAAATTACAAAATTTCAGCTAATTTTTAACTGCATCTTGAAGAGGGTTCCAAAAAGGCAAGGTTATATGTCTAGTGGAATCTAGACATGGCAGGTGCGGATAAAAGATTTTCTAGACAAGATTATAAATTTGATTTTCACCGGGCTCATTTTTGGTCCGACGACAACACGGGAAAAAACTTAGAAGGGTAACTAGAACTTGTAAAGTGTCTTCAGGTAATAATTGATTTTTCAAGAAACAGTAAAAAAGAAAAATTTTTAGAAAATTTCAGCTAATTCTTAACTGCAACCTTGAGAGGACTCCAAAAAGCAATGTTATTTGTCTAGTGGAACTCCTAGACAAGGTAAAATTTGAAGAGTACCTAAACATTGATGACAATTTTTCATTCTTGATGCTGTTGTTTCTATCTTTTTTTTAAATAATGATTTAAAAGACATATTTGCGAGAAGATTGTCAAATTAGCTTCTAATTTGATTGTGGTACCGCAACTGCTACTGCTATTGCAGTAACTATGCAGTCCTCTTATATTGGCCTTGATAGTGCTACTCACATCTGCTACTGCTATCGCAGTAACCAGATAGTCATCACATATTGGCCTTGATAGTGCTATACATATTGTTATCTGTAAATTATATAATCCTATTATAAAAAACCAAGGTCAAAGAATACGTGACCTTTTACAAATCTTAGAGAGTCAATCTCTCAGGCCTGTGGCTAAGAACACAGTCAGTAAGAAACTAACAAACAGAAAAACAAACGGTTTCAACATGGTTAATTAAACTCTTCGAAACCACTTCAGTTTTCACTATACAACCTCAGAGGTATTGTTAGTTACCACATGGCGCAGCCAGCAGGATCCGGTTTTTCTGCTCAGGATAATAGGACTGATCTAGGAATCCCAGTATTTTGGGCATCCGCAAATTCAGACCCACCTTGGTTTTTTATAACCTGAAAGGTTGCTGTTCAAGACAAGGAGAAAAGCAACAACAGACGATCCCCAACGGGAGAAGAGCCTAAGAAAAAACAACAGAGGCAATCGAGGCGACAATCAGACGAACAAGATGAGGCTGAATTGAGTCAGTCGGATGAAGACTTATTGCTAGAGCAGCCAGGTTCAGCTAAGGAAAAATTTCAGGACAGCCCAACGGTGATCACTTCAAAAGACACTCTGCAAGGCGGTGGACTGAATTTGGCGGTACGAAGAGCGAAGCCGAACTTGGCTGGACCATTCTCGAAAACAACTAAGGCTAAAGTGGGCCCAATCTCGACGAAAGACGCACAACAAGTCATATTACAGAATAAAAGTGCTGCGTTAGCAGCAGAAGTGAACGAACCGCAGGCGCCAGATCACGCATGTTCGCCGAATACTATAAAAAACAAGAAAGAAATTACACGCACTACATCTCCTGAAACGATCCTCGACACTTTCAATAGTAAGGACCTATCGGCGAATGACTGGAATCGGTTAGCGGATCAAGTACTTGAACGAGGAGTTCAGCGCGCGGCGGCAGAGATACTGCAATCCACAGAGGATGCGGAAGACGACGAGGAATTGTTGAATCCTCCGGGGTTTTCTGATGAATCCGAACTTGAGGAAACATCAGTGCGGAAAAGCGGAAGAACTAAAAAGGGACCATCCAGATACGGAAACCCGATTAAGCATTCGGTGAAATCAATCTCGTTTCAGAATAACCTATTAGACTTAAACCAAGCCGCGCTCGAAGCATATAGAATCAAGCTTGCAAATTTTAAACCCGGTGCTTCTAATTCGGTGGAGACAAAATTTGGTCTGCTGGAGAAACATCTTTTTAGGAGAAAGTTTGGCAGCGAGGCTCTAGATATAACCCGTTCATGGAACGCCGAGTGGCGAATCCCTTTACAGTTGGAAGAGGAACACGAAGAGAGAGATGGAAAATGAGTAATCTAATACACAAAGCCAAAACTTCTAAAACTGAGTTCTAAAACTCCTATTCATTATTATTTAAAATTTTAATAACATATTATAAAAATTTTCTTGATCGAGGGGGTATGTGGTACCGCAACTGCTACTGCTATTGCAGTAACTATGCAGTCCTCTTATATTGGCCTTGATAGTGCTACTCACATCTGCTACTGCTATCGCAGTAACCAGATAGTCATCACATATTGGCCTTGATAGTGCTATACATATTGTTATCTGTAAATTATATAATCCTATTATAAAAAACCAAGGTCAAAGAATACGTGACCTTTTACAAATCTTAGAGAGTCAATCTCTCAGGCCTGTGGCTAAGAACACAGTCAGTAAGAAACTAACAAACAGAAAAACAAACGGTTTCAACATGGTTAATTAAACTCTTCGAAACCACTTCAGTTTTCACTATACAACCTCAGAGGTATTGTTAGTTACCACATTGATATAATGTTATCGATAGAGTGTGAAAGCCGGAGGCAAGATTTTAGATTTTCTTTTTCACCGGGCCCATTTTTGGTCCGGCAACAAAATGTGCGGAAAAAACTTAGCATTCGTGTGTTTCTTTTTTTTTGTGAAAAATCATAGATAAATTTCAAATGATTTTGAACTATAGTCGTGATCCGATTGATATATTAAAACTTTCCACATTTTCTTTCAAACTAAACTTTTTGTGTTGAATCGCTGAAAAAAAATTTATCATCTGTGCTGTTTTTCCAGTGGACGATATCCAGATGTTACTGGATGACCAGATAGTGAAGACCCAGACAATGAGGGGTAGTCCTTTCATCAAGCCATTCGAGAACGAGATCAAAGACTGGGAGTCGAAGCTGATTCTACTACAGGAGATATTGGACGAATGGCTTAAGGCAAGATATCATTAGAGATGCTTAGTAAAAAAAACTGATATTTTTGAAGAAAAAAGTTGCCTTAAATGAATTGAAACGAAGTGTCCTTCATCTTTTTTTAAATAAACAGAAATCTGAAATGTTTGACTTGTACTATCTGATGACAAAAATTGGATGTATCAATTTGGATGCATCAATAGTTTTCAATTTCTGTTTTGTTTCTATCTTCAGAACATTTTAAAGTTTCAATTCGACTTATAATTGCATCACTTGTATTCAAATCTTTAAAAAATGATTCTAGAATATTCTTTTCCTCCAGGTTCAGGCCACGTGGCTGTACCTGGAACCCATCTTCTCTAGTCCAGACATCATGGCCCAGATGCCAGAGGAGGGGAGGAGATTCACGACAGTAGACAAAACATGGAGAGATTTGATCAAACAGGTGTTGTTAGACAAACACGTGTTGGCAGTCACTAACATCGAGAAGATGCTGGAAAAACTACGAAAAAGGGATCAATTTAATTTTGATTCAAAGTTATTAAATGTGTTTTTTTAAATATAGAAAGAAATTATAAGAAACTGAAAGAAAAGAAGTTTCGAAAAGCAAATAACAAGAAAAAAGATGAAAAAAGAACTCGAAATATAAATAAAATTGCTTTTTCATAAGTTTCATAAAATTTTATAGCCATTTCTGAACAACAAATTATTATTTTTTTTTGAGAAAACTTGCGCTGTAACTTTCGAAGAGTTCAATTTTTTTTAGCCTACGCAGCCGATACTTTCGAATGATCATATTTTTTTCACCACTTTATCAAACACTCAAAAATAATCAGATAATTAGCTTTTTTCTTTTAAATAGGTACGCTAAAACTGTACAGTTGGGCTGAACTCAACTCCATTTCTTGAATTTTTCTTCGTTCATAAATATAGAAGAAAACTTCTCGATTCAATTGCAATGAAATTGCTCTGTAAAAAAAATTGGTTTAACAATATTTACGGATGTTAACTTGATCCCTAAACAGCAACGAATTCCTGGAACTCATTCTGAAAGGCTTGAACGACTACCTAGAAAAGAAGCGACTCTACTTCCCTCGCTTTTTCTTCCTCTCAAACGACGAACTGCTCGAAATTCTCTCCGAGACGAAAGATCCTACGAGAGTTCAGCCACATTTGAAGAAGTGCTTCGAAGGCATTGCGAAGTTATCGTTCACAGACGTTTTAGGGATGTTTCAAACATTAGAGTCGCAAGAACCAAAACAACAAGAGTTGCGAGAAAAATTTTAACCTAATAGACAGAGCCAATTTCAATACTTTGTTTTAATAAAAAAATTATGCAATTTGAATCTTTCAGACGAACTTGAAACATGACATCTGTATGCATTGAAAAAAGATAAATGAACGACGTTTCTATAAAAAACATAGAAGTCAACAAAAAATGGTCCATAACATCAGTGTATAATAAACAAATAATGAACAATAAAAGGCCACTTCAAACATTAGAAAGAGCCCACTGTTTGAAACAACCTTCTTTAGACATAACCCACATGAAGAGTTCTGAAGGTGAAATAGTCGAATTGAGAGACATAATTTCGACTTCGAAAGCGAGAGGTCAAGTGGAGAAGTGGCTTCTTGAACTGGAGGCTGACATGTTAGCCTCTCTCCAGAAGGTCACTGACGAGAGCAGACAGGATTATGAAAGCTGTGTTCGGATCGAGTGGGTCACCAAATGGCCAGGTGAGTTATATCTATAACACCTTTTCCCCTCTCCCATCTTCCAACGAATCTCCCCTCCCCTCTACTTGAGAACTTTTTCAAGTGAATTGTTTCTTCACATTATCCTATGAAAGATGAAAAAGTGGCTGGGTGGGATAAATTTGAAAGCTTTTTCCCCCCTCCCTCGCCTGCGATCTTTTACTAGTGTTTGTTCACATTGTCCGATTGCTATCAAAATTGAGACGCGGACTATTTCAACATTCCATTACAACGATAACAGCCCGGGTCACAAACAGTTGAGACTTTCGGAAGTTCTGGAGACAATCGCAAGACGATCGAACTGGCCTATAAGCAAAACTTTAGACTCAGTCATAGCATTCAATGCATTAATAGCAAAACAATCTCAGATTCAACAGTGTTTCAATCTCGCTTCAGGTCAAGCAGTGTTGTGTGTGTCTCAACTGTTCTGGACTCTGTTTGTGTCGAAATCAATTGTGAATGGAAAACAAGCTCTGAGTGACTATTTCGATCTGTGCAACCATCAGGTGAACCATGAAACCATTAATTGATACAATAAACAAGCTCATTGAAATAAAAAAAAAGCAAAATTTTCCTATTGTTGTGCTAGTAGCATAGAAGATTCCGACCACTGTTAACTTCAAAAATTAAATCAAATAATAAATCTAAATAAAATTTAAAAAAAAACAAAGCCTTGTACATTAGTTTTATGGCTTTAATTGACTAAATTTATCATTACAAAAAGGATAAATTATGAAAAAAATCCTATAAATCATTTTTGCTATTTTTTTTCATTCACTGCAAATTTATTCGTTAATTTTGTAAATAGTTTTGACAAATGAATATTGGAAATTTTGGTGCCGTTTTGGGAGGGCAATACAGCAGTACCAAAATACAACATTGCCGAAAATGAAAAGTTTGTTCAACAGTGCCGAAAAATGAAAAAACACTTAAAAAAAGTTTAGTTATCGTTTATACCAGATAATACGCATTGCATTTGAAAATTTTATTGAGTATAGATGTATCGCAATCCGGAGTTTTTTTCAAACTAAGAATCTGGTTGCCTTGACGATTTCCGCAAAATCTATGTTTGTTTATACGAGAAAAAAAACTGTTTTCCGGTTGAATTCGTTTCACGAATTGCAAGAAATTACATCTGACACCCTTTACGAGACTCCAAAAAGCTGTTTTCAGCGTTGGAGTTTTAGCGAATTTCAAATTTGCCGAAAACTTGGAGTAAGCTTGTCATTTTTGGCCATTTATTCGAAAGTATTTTCGTAAATTTTGGACTTATTATTCAAGGGCTCGTTTTCGACAGCTGAAAACAATTCTTTCCCGCAGAATTTAATAAATCGTCGACCGCAGGAAGGTTATAAAGAAATGATCAAATTAATATCAAGGGCGTTTGTTGTCTGGTAATTTTTCCCTAAGCAAATTTAAAGAACTTGATTTGTTGTTTTTTTATTTTTCTGTTTTGGTTCTATTTCAATGTCAATTTTTTGGGAGTCACCTCTTTTTGAAGGAATAAATTTGAACATTTTGAGTCCGGAAATCGCTAATAAAACAGCGATCAAAATTTTTTCAAGTAAATCACTTTAAGACTTTGTACAAAAATTCTTACAACTTCAGCCCCAAAATAAATGACTTATTTGCAACTGCTGACATTTTGGCGCCAAATTTGAAGTGATTTTTAAAAAAAAGTTTAGCGTCAGTAATTTTTAAAATCTTATTTAGAAGATGTAGTTTATTGAGTTTAATTGTTTCCCGCTTTTTTCGGAACTGCTGAACGCCCTTTTTGGGAAAAAAGTTGTTAAAAGCGTTTTTCTTCTCGCTGGCTTTAAACGTTCTAAAATAGGCTGAAAAGCAAAACTTCAAAGCGGTTCTTCTAGATACAGAAATCACTTAAGAGCCCATAGAGAATCGATCGAATTTTGACTGAAATGGCTTTTTGATGATTTTTATGGCCTTAGATCGGCGTGAAAAAAAAGTTTAAAAAATCACAACCGAGAAAAACGTGCTTTTTAACTTGTTTAATTACTATCTGAAATAAAACAGGGTTTTCTAACTGTTTTGGTGCAAAAACTAGGCCTTTTGCAGCAAGTTTTTGATATAAACAAATGATTCAGATCTGAAATCAATATCAGGACGAAAAAAAATCGGATAAATAATTATTACTAGACATAAAAAATATCATGCACTTTTCGATTTATTTCCTGCATAAAAATGTATGAAAATGTATGACCAGCTTTTTCGTTAGATTATATAATTTTGTGATAAGCTCTTTTTCTTGTTTGGAGCAGTATGACTATCATACTTTTAGAAACTGTGATTACCCACATTTTTTTTTGTTAATTTTGTGTGTTTTTAGTGTTAGTTTTCAACCCAAACACATTGAACAATCTGACTAAGTTTTTTTTTGAGGTTTTTGCTGACTTTGAGCTGGCGCTCAAGCAGACTCATACAAATATCAGTTATTTTGGGGTAATTAGCGGAAATTTTTGTAAAATTGTAACTCATTTTTCTTGCTTATCAACAAGCCCAAGCGAAGCTTCAATTAGCCCTCAGAAGTAAAGAAAAAAGTAAAAGATCCTTTGAGTTTAAACCACTCGACACAAATTTTGATGTTTTCTGTTGATAGAAATTTTCTTAAAACTATCAAATAAAGCTACAACTTTTGGAAATTATGACCACTATTTTTTCGCAAGGATGTTCTAGTCTGAAAGGCGAGTACAGATTATCTGATCACATCTTTGAAACCTACGCATTTTATTTTATACGTTCAGACAATATGAAACAATTTATGAGACAAATTTTTTGAGTAAAATTGTATGAAATTGTTTGAATATCTTTTTGTTGAATGGAGATCAACTCGCGTTGTTAATGGGTCAACCCGGACAACACTATGTTACGCCTATTGTATCATATCCCATGGGATTATCTATGGTATGATGTTTGTAGATCGATGAGATTGTGGGTAAGGTGAGAGGGAAGTTGCCCATGCAGAACAGAGTGACACTGGGGGCACTGATTGTACTCGATGTACATGCCAGAGATGTCCTGGGTAAAAGTTTCTCTTTTATTACCTAATTTGGTCTTATGCAACACTTATGCAACACTTATGCAACACTTATGCAACTCACTTATGCAACACTTATGCAACTCACTTATGCAACACTTATGCAACTCACTTATGCAACTCACTTATGCAACACTTATGCAACTCACTTATGCAACACTTTATGCAACACTTATGCAACTCACTTATGCAACACTTTATGCAACAGTTATGCAACTCACTTATGCAACACTTATGCAAGATTTTGCTTATGCAACACTTATGCAACACTTATGCAACTCACTTATGCAACACTTATGCAACTCACTTATGCAACACTTATGCAAGATTTTGCTTATGCAACACTTATGCAACTCACTTATGCAACACTTATGCAAGATTTTGCTTATGCAACACTTATGCAACTCACCTGGTATTCGCGCGTGGTAAGGAGGAGATTGCCGCAGCGAGGCTCTAGATATAACCCGTTCATGGAACGCCGAGTGGCGAATCCCTTTACAGTTGGAAGAGGAACACGAAGAGAGAGATGGAAAATGAGTAATCTAATACACAAAGCCAAAACTTCTTAAACTGAGTTCTAAAACTCCTATTCATTATTATTTAAAATTTTAATAACATATTATAAAAATTTTCTTGATCGAGGGGGTATGTGGTACCGCAACTGCTACTGCTATTGCAGTAACTATGCAGTCCTCTTATATTGGCCTTGATAGTGCTACTCACATCTGCTACTGCTATCGCAGTAACCAGATAGTCATCACATATTGGCCTTGATAGTGCTATACATATTGTTATCTGTAAATTATATAATCCTATTATAAAAAACCAAGGTCAAAGAATACGTGACCTTTTACAAATCTTAGAGAGTCAATCTCTCAGGCCTGTGGCTAAGAACACAGTCAGTAAGAAACTAACAAACAGAAAAACAAACGGTTTCAACATGGTTAATTAAACTCTTCGAAACCACTTCAGTTTTCACTATACAACCTCAGAGGTATTGTTAGTTACCACATTGATATAATGTTATCGATAGAGTGTGAAAGCCGGAGGCAAGATTTTAGATTTTCTTTTTCACCGGGCCCATTTTTGGTCCGGCAACAAAATGTGCGGAAAAAACTTAGCATTCGTGTGTTTCTTTTTTTTTGTGAAAAATCATAGATAAATTTCAAATGATTTTGAACTATAGTCGTGATCCGATTGATATATTAAAACTTTCCACATTTTCTTTCAAACTAAACTTTTTGTGTTGAATCGCTGAAAAAAAATTTATCATCTGTGCTGTTTTTCCAGTGGACGATATCCAGATGTTACTGGATGACCAGATAGTGAAGACCCAGACAATGAGGGGTAGTCCTTTCATCAAGCCATTCGAGAACGAGATCAAAGACTGGGAGTCGAAGCTGATTCTACTACAGGAGATATTGGACGAATGGCTTAAGGCAAGATATCATTAGAGATGCTTAGTAAAAAAAACTGATATTTTTGAAGAAAAAAGTTGCCTTAAATGAATTGAAACGAAGTGTCCTTCATCTTTTTTTAAATAAACAGAAATCTGAAATGTTTGACTTGTACTATCTGATGACAAAAATTGGATGTATCAATTTGGATGCATCAATAGTTTTCAATTTCTGTTTTGTTTCTATCTTCAGAACATTTTAAAGTTTCAATTCGACTTATAATTGCATCACTTGTATTCAAATCTTTAAAAAATGATTCTAGAATATTCTTTTCCTCCAGGTTCAGGCCACGTGGCTGTACCTGGAACCCATCTTCTCTAGTCCAGACATCATGGCCCAGATGCCAGAGGAGGGGAGGAGATTCACGACAGTAGACAAAACATGGAGAGATTTGATCAAACAGGTGTTGTTAGACAAACACGTGTTGGCAGTCACTAACATCGAGAAGATGCTGGAAAAACTACGAAAAAGGGATCAATTTAATTTTGATTCAAAGTTATTAAATGTGTTTTTTTAAATATAGAAAGAAATTATAAGAAACTGAAAGAAAAGAAGTTTCGAAAAGCAAATAACAAGAAAAAAGATGAAAAAAGAACTCGAAATATAAATAAAATTGCTTTTTCGTAAGTTTCATAAAATTTTATAGCCATTTCTGAACAACAAATTATTATTTTTTTTTGAGAAAACTTGCGCTGTAACTTTCGAAGAGTTCAATTTTTTTTAGCCTACGCAGCCGATACTTTCGAATGATCATATTTTTTTCACCACTTTATCAAACACTCAAAAATAATCAGATAATTAGCTTTTTTCTTTTAAATAGGTACGCTAAAACTGTACAGTTGGGCTGAACTCAACTCCATTTCTTGAATTTTTCTTCGTTCATAAATATAGAAGAAAACTTCTCGATTCAATTGCAATGAAATTGCTCTGTAAAAAAAATTGGTTTAACAATATTTACGGATGTTAACTTGATCCCTAAACAGCAACGAATTCCTGGAACTCATTCTGAAAGGCTTGAACGACTACCTGGAAAAGAAGCGACTCTACTTCCCTCGCTTTTTCTTCCTCTCAAACGACGAACTGCTCGAAATTCTCTCCGAGACGAAAGATCCTACGAGAGTTCAGCCACATTTGAAGAAGTGCTTCGAAGGCATTGCGAAGTTATCGTTCACAGACGTTTTAGGGATGTTTCAAACATTAGAGTCGCAAGAACCAAAACAACAAGAGTTGCGAGAAAAATTTTAACCTAATAGACAGAGCCAATTTCAATACTTTGTTTTAATAAAAAAATTATGCAATTTGAATCTTTCAGACGAACTTGAAACATGACATCTGTATGCATTGAAAAAAGATAAATGAACGACGTTTCTATAAAAAACATAGAAGTCAACAAAAAATGGTCCATAACATCAGTGTATAATAAACAAATAATGAACAATAAAAGGCCACTTCAAACATTAGAAAGAGCCCACTGTTTGAAACAACCTTCTTTAGACATAACCCACATGAAGAGTTCTGAAGGTGAAATAGTCGAATTGAGAGACATAATTTCGACTTCGAAAGCGAGAGGTCAAGTGGAGAAGTGGCTTCTTGAACTGGAGGCTGACATGTTAGCCTCTCTCCAGAAGGTCACTGACGAGAGCAGACAGGATTATGAAAGCTGTGTTCGGATCGAGTGGGTCACCAAATGGCCAGGTGAGTTATATCTATAACACCTTTTCCCCTCTCCCATCTTCCAACGAATCTCCCCTCCCCTCTACTTGAGAACTTTTTCAAGTGAATTGTTTCTTCACATTATCCTATGAAAGATGAAAAAGTGGCTGGGTGGGATAAATTTGAAAGCTTTTTCCCCCCTCCCTCGCCTGCGATCTTTTACTAGTGTTTGTTCACATTGTCCGATTGCTATCAAAATTGAGACGCGGACTATTTCAACATTCCATTACAACGATAACAGCCCGGGTCACAAACAGTTGAGACTTTCGGAAGTTCTGGAGACAATCGCAAGACGATCGAACTGGCCTATAAGCAAAACTTTAGACTCAGTCATAGCATTCAATGCATTAATAGCAAAACAATCTCAGATTCAACAGTGTTTCAATCTCGCTTCAGGTCAAGCAGTGTTGTGTGTGTCTCAACTGTTCTGGACTCTGTTTGTGTCGAAATCAATTGTGAATGGAAAACAAGCTCTGAGTGACTATTTCGATCTGTGCAACCATCAGGTGAACCATGAAACCATTAATTGATACAATAAACAAGCTCATTGAAATAAAAAAAAAGCAAAATTTTCCTATTGTTGTGCTAGTAGCATAGAAGATTCCGACCACTGTTAACTTCAAAAATTAAATCAAATAATAAATCTAAATAAAATTTAAAAAAAAACAAAGCCTTGTACATTAGTTTTATGGCTTTAATTGACTAAATTTATCATTACAAAAAGGATAAATTATGAAAAAAATCCTATAAATCGTTTTTGCTATTTTTTTTCATTCACTGCAAATTTATTCGTTAATTTTGTAAATAGTTTTGACAAATGAATATTGGAAATTTTGGTGCCGTTTTGGGAGGGCAATACAGCAGTACCAAAATACAACATTGCCGAAAATGAAAAGTTTGTTCAACAGTGCCGAAAAATGAAAAAACACTTAAAAAAAGTTTAGTTATCGTTTATACCAGATAATACGCATTGCATTTGAAAATTTTATTGAGTATAGATGTATCGCAATCCGGAGTTTTTTTCAAACTAAGAATCTGGTTGCCTTGACGATTTCCGCAAAATCTATGTTTGTTTATACGAGAAAAAAAACTGTTTTCCGGTTGAATTCGTTTCACGAATTGCAAGAAATTACATCTGACACCCTTTACGAGACTCCAAAAAGCTGTTTTCAGCGTTGGAGTTTTAGCGAATTTCAAATTTGCCGAAAACTTGGAGTAAGCTTGTCATTTTTGGCCATTTATTCGAAAGTATTTTCGTAAATTTTGGACTTATTATTCAAGGGCTCGTTTTCGACAGCTGAAAACAATTCTTTCCCGCAGAATTTAATAAATCGTCGACCGCAGGAAGGTTATAAAGAAATGATCAAATTAATATCAAGGGCGTTTGTTGTCTGGTAATTTTTCCCTAAGCAAATTTAAAGAACTTGATTTGTTGTTTTTTTATTTTTCTGTTTTGGTTCTATTTCAATGTCAATTTTTTGGGAGTCACCTCTTTTTGAAGGAATAAATTTGAACATTTTGAGTCCGGAAATCGCTAATAAAACAGCGATCAAAATTTTTTCAAGTAAATCACTTTAAGACTTTGTACAAAAATTCTTACAACTTCAGCCCCAAAATAAATGACTTATTTGCAACTGCTGACATTTTGGCGCCAAATTTGAAGTGATTTTTAAAAAAAAGTTTAGCGTCAGTAATTTTTAAAATCTTATTTAGAAGATGTAGTTTATTGAGTTTAATTGTTTCCCGCTTTTTTCGGAACTGCTGAACGCCCTTTTTGGGAAAAAAGTTGTTAAAAGCGTTTTTCTTCTCGCTGGCTTTAAACGTTCTAAAATAGGCTGAAAAGCAAAACTTCAAAGCGGTTCTTCTAGATACAGAAATCACTTAAGAGCCCATAGAGAATCGATCGAATTTTGACTGAAATGGCTTTTTGATGATTTTTATGGCCTTAGATCGGCGTGAAAAAAAAGTTTAAAAAATCACAACCGAGAAAAACGTGCTTTTTAACTTGTTTAATTACTATCTGAAATAAAACAGGGTTTTCTAACTGTTTTGGTGCAAAAACTAGGCCTTTTGCAGCAAGTTTTTGATATAAACAAATGATTCAGATCTGAAATCAATATCAAGACGAAAAAAAATCGGATAAATAATTATTACTAGACATAAAAAATATCATGCACTTTTCGATTTATTTCCTGCATAAAAATGTATGAAAATGTATGACCAGCTTTTTCGTTAGATTATATAATTTTGTGATAAGCTCTTTTTCTTGTTTGGAGCAGTATGACTATCATACTTTTAGAAACTGTGATTACCCACATTTTTTTTTGTTAATTTTGTGTGTTTTTAGTGTTAGTTTTCAACCCAAACACATTGAACAATCTGACTAAGTTTTTTTTTGAGGTTTTTGCTGACTTTGAGCTGGCGCTCAAGCAGACTCATACAAATATCAGTTATTTTGGGGTAATTAGCGGAAATTTTTGTAAAATTGTAACTCATTTTTCTTGCTTATCAACAAGCCCAAGCGAAGCTTCAATTAGCCCTCAGAAGTAAAGAAAAAAGTAAAAGATCCTTTGAGTTTAAACCACTCGACACAAATTTTGATGTTTTCTGTTGATAGAAATTTTCTTAAAACTATCAAATAAAGCTACAACTTTTGGAAATTATGACCACTATTTTTTCGCAAGGATGTTCTAGTCTGAAAGGCGAGTACAGATTATCTGATCACATCTTTGAAACCTACGCATTTTATTTTATACGTTCAGACAATATGAAACAATTTATGAGACAAATTTTTTGAGTAAAATTGTATGAAATTGTTTGAATATCTTTTTGTTGAATGGAGATCAACTCGCGTTGTTAATGGGTCAACCCGGACAACACTATGTTACGCCTATTGTATCATATCCCATGGGATTATCTATGGTATGATGTTTGTAGATCGATGAGATTGTGGGTAAGGTGAGAGGGAAGTTGCCCATGCAGAACAGAGTGACACTGGGGGCACTGATTGTACTCGATGTACATGCCAGAGATGTCCTGGGTAAAAGTTTCTCTTTTATTACCTAATTTGGTCTTATGCAACACTTATGCAACACTTATGCAACACTTATGCAACTCACTTATGCAACACTTATGCAACTCACTTATGCAACACTTATGCAACTCACTTATGCAACTCACTTATGCAACACTTATGCAACTCACTTATGCAACACTTTATGCAACACTTATGCAACTCACTTATGCAACACTTTATGCAACAGTTATGCAACTCACTTATGCAACACTTATGCAAGATTTTGCTTATGCAACACTTATGCAACACTTATGCAACTCACTTATGCAACACTTATGCAACTCACTTATGCAACACTTATGCAAGATTTTGCTTATGCAACACTTATGCAACTCACTTATGCAACACTTATGCAAGATTTTGCTTATGCAACACTTATGCAACTCACCTGGTATTCGCGCGTGGTAAGGAGGAGATTGCCGAACCAACCCTCGCAAGAATTTTCATCTGAACGCCAATTAACACTGGCAATTTTTGGCTTGTTTCCACTCCCCAACGTTTGAAATCCAATTTGGAAAAACCGTTTAAAACCTGGTCTTTTTAATTAATGAAGTTTGGCTTGATGAGCAAATTATTTTTTGTGAGCAGATTTGTTCCTCATCATCTAGATCGTAAAATTTCGAAATTCGAAATCTGGGCAGAAAATTTTAAAAAAAGCCCAATTTTTCATTTGGAAAATAATATAATGAAAAAATTTTTGTTTTACTTGTTATTGCAAAACCAGAATCTGTTAAAATTTCCATATCTGGAATTGAACCCTTCTGAACCTCAATCAAAAAAGCGGCCGTGGGGTTGATCAGCGGCCCCCAGTTATTGAAGCATTTTTTAAATTTATTTAAGTTTAAAAGTCAATTTTTCAAGCAGAAACTGCTGTAAAGAAAAGTTATGAAAAACTCTGAGCTGGAATCGAACCATTGACCCTCTGTTTTCAGCTTTGATCAAGAAAGCGGGTGTGAGTTCGATCAACGACTTCAAGTGGCTGAGTCAGCTGAGGTACTACTGGGAGGATGAGAATGTGATGACGAGGATGATCAACACTCAACTAGCCTATGGATACGAGTACCTTGGAAACTCGCCTCGATTGGTCATTACACCATTGACTGATCGGTGCTACAGGTTAAAAAATAATAATACTAATCAAACTTTTAAAATGCAGTTTAGACAAAAAGCAAGAATTTACAAAACGTTGAGCTAATTGCTTTTTAAACTGCATCTTTGAGAGGATTCCAAAAAGGCATTTTTGCCTTCCGAGTGGAACCTCTAAGGTTATACTATAACAGGTAAAAGCTTGAAGGAGGCAAAATTATTTAAGTATTTGATTCGAAAAAATTATTTTTGATTAGCATTCTTAATAGTTTACAAAGATTTTAAAAATTAACGTAACTTCAGTGTTCTTCTGAAATATAAGTTTCCCAGAAATTGTTTCTAGAACCCTCTTCGGAGCCCTGAGTCTTCACTTGGGCGGAGCACCCGAAGGACCAGCTGGCACTGGGAAGACAGAGACGACAAAAGATTTGGCCAAAGCAGTCGCCAAACAGGTTAGACATATATTTTTTGACGTTTTTCACAAAATTGTAAGAATATCACTTTTTTTGAAAGCTCATTTTTTTTTCGTCAAAAACATTTTTTTTTGCTTTTAAAATCGTTGATATCCAATATTCTCTAAATAGAAAAAATAATAAAATAGGTTTGTTTATCAAAAAACGTTAACTGAACATAAAAAAAGCTATGTCTCGATTAATCGATATTTTTTGATTAAAGTAAGCAACTGTTTATTCACAGTGCGTGGTGTTCAACTGTTCCGATGGGTTGGACTACATAGCCCTGGGCAAGTTCTTCAAGGGGTTGGCCTCTTGTGGGGCGTGGTCCTGCTTCGACGAGTTCAACAGAATTGACGTGGAGGTGTTGTCTGTAGTCGCACAGCAGATACTCACCATTCAGAGAGGTTAATTAAAATAATTAAAACTGTCTTTTGAGAATCTAAATGTAACTGACATCTAAATCGATATGAATTTTTTAAGGAATCATTTTTGGAGTAATTTTTCTATTAAATATAAAATCAACGCAAACAAATCTACACCTTTTCCGTCGTTTAAACTACAATTTTTCTTATCCGTTCTTGAGTTTTTTCTAGTGATAGAAATTTTGAATATCTTGACCTGACTGCAGTACAAACCTTGTTTTCTTAGTAAAAATTAGACCAACTGCAGATTGTAAAATCAATGGCTAAAATCAGTGGCAGCCATACTTCAACTAAATCACATTTCAGAACTCTAAAACTATCGTGAATCAATTTTATTGTCAAGTATTTTCCAGGAATTTCTTCCGGCGGTGAGATGCTTCTTTTCGAGGGCACGGAGTTGAAATTGAACCCTACCTGTGCAGTGTTCATCACAATGAACCCTGGATACGCTGGAAGATCAGAATTGCCGGACAATCTCAAAGCACTATTCAGACCAGGGATGTTCAAAATACAAAAAAGTGATTAATATTCAAGAAAGAGAAATACACTTTTTTAACCTAATTTTATTTTTTGAAAAATTATTTTAAAATTTGTTTCCTGATTCTTCTATACTCAAAGTTTGCTGACGCAAAAAATCTAATTTTAAATACCGAAAACAATCAATAAGTCTTTTTTTTTGAAAAAATTTATTTTGAACCGCCTTTAACTTCAACCCTCCAGTGGCGATGATGGTGCCGGACTATGCCCTGATCTCGGAGATAGTGCTGTACTCGTGTGGATTCGTGTCTGCCAGAGCACTGGCTGTCAAAATAGTGGCCACTTACAGACTCTGCTCCGAACAGGCAAGGATTTAACTAGTTTGGATGAAGAAAATATCAAAAAAAAATAAATTGACTTTTTAAAAAATTTGATTAATCCCGCCGTTGATTGAAACAATAATTTTTTTCAAAAAAAAAAAAGCTATACAAAAAGCTATTTGACCCGCGGCGCATGCTAATCAGTTTTAAATTAAAAGAAGAGGATCATATCTTGGTCTATTCAGGGGACGATGTTAATTTCATAAGGAATTTTTAAATTATTTTTCTGTGCTGTATATTGTCGCCTCATACTACCTAACTGATTAATTTGATATAAAGTATCGATCAGATAAATTAAAGTTTGTCATTGCTTGCTTGAAAAATGTTTTTATCTTAAAATAAAGTGTTTTTTGGGAATTAAAAAATTAAATCTTTTCCTTTTCCGTGCGTGTAACAGTTGTCAAGTCAGCACCATTATGACTATGGAATGAGGGCTGTCAAATCAGTCCTAACAGCTGCTGGAAATCTCAAACTCAAGTATCCAGATGATGACGAAGAAATGCTTATGTTGAGGTAAGTATTATTTAATCGGATAAAGATAGTTCATATTTTAATCAATTTTTTTTAGGTTTAAGGGTCTCAATACATTTTAATTCCAGCAACACTACATTTATTTTTTTTGTTTTTTCAACTTTGTTTTTGATTTGTTTTTTTTTCAAATTTGTTCTGATTTGTTTTTTTTTTTTTTTTCTGATTTGTTTTTTCAAATTTGTTCAAAGGCAGCATTATTTGTTTTTCCAAAATTTGTTTTTTTTTTCAAACTTGATTTGCGTTTCAGTTTGATTTTTTTTTCAAATTGTCCGAACCCAAAATTAATCCCCTTTCATACTCTTTGACAATTTTTCAACGTTTCAATTTTTCCAGGTCTATCAACGACGTGAACCTTCCCAAGTTCCTCTCCCAAGACCTCCCCCTGTTCTCCGGCATCACTTCAGATCTGTTCCCTGGAGTACAACTTCCCAAACCAGACTATGTGGCCATGATTGAAGCTGTGGACTTCCATTGCCAGAGACTCAACCTACAGGTTCACATATAAGTTGCAAAAAGATCAGACAGGAAAAAATTAGTTAAACTGAAAACAAGTGAACAAATTTTGCATGCGAATGCTTTAAGCTCAGACAGGGAAATCCGAATAAATTGTTATGCTTTCTGCGAATAAATTGTTATGAGCTATCAGTAGAGCTGAACATGTCTGTCTATAGATAGCTAATTTATATTTTTTCCCACATTCCAGACTGAGTTATTTTGTCGCTTTTTTGCGACTCAAGGCCGTGTTTTACGTCCACAACTTTTCACGTTGTACTATTATTGCAGCCAAAACTGGTCAAAATTATTAATAGAAATGAACACAATTTAGCGAATTTTGCATGCAAATGCCATATTTTTAGGTTGATCTTATTTTTAAAGGTCGAATGAAGCAAGATTATTATGTGTACAATTATTTCGTCAAGTTAACGTGTCATAGGCTATGATTAAAAATATAATTGTTTAGGTTCGAGATTTGATAGGCTTGGAAAGTACGTGAATCTTTAGAGATGGTACCTTTTGTCATGGGAGATTTTGGTATGGAGTTTTTTGTCATGACACCGGTTCCGTAGACGTCTATGGAATCGGTGTCAAGACAAAAAATACCAACCAAAGATCCCCGGCAAAGTGAGACATATCTACAATTTTAAAAAGCACTCTTTATTTATTACGTTATTTTTTTCTAGATGACGCATAGCTTTCTGGGCAAGATCCTACAGATATACGAGATGATGTTGGTGCGACATGGCTTCATGATTGTGGGACTTCCTTTCGGAGGAAAGACATCCGCCTACAGAGTGCTGGCAGAGGCACTCACAACATTGGCAGAAAACGTGAGTTTTTTTCTGTTTAAAAACGTATAGGGCGACACCCCGGGATGCAAAAATGCTTATCATAAAATTCCATGCTATGGAAAAAATGCTTATCGTACGAGTCCATACAATTCCATAGAATAAAAAAATTGTATGAAATTCACATGATAGGCATTTTTTCCATTCAATGAAATTGTATGATAATGATTTTTTCCTTTCAATGAAATTGTATGACAATGATTTTTTCCATTTAATGGAATCCCAAGTCCATCAATCTTTGATATCTTTGAAAAATCTTGAAGAATGTTGAAAGACGTGAACCTTCTTGAAGAATCAAGAATATTTTTTGTATGGAGGTCACGCGGGACACCACAATTCATAATCGGCGACAGTTTGCACTTTTGATCGAAATGACAAGTGTACCAGCTATAATTTTTTAACTTTTGATTGCTTAGTGTGAATGGATTAGCTTAATCGTTACACACTAAATGTTTTTCACTTTATCACTTGTGTCAAATACAATCGTATTGAAGCGAAGCGGTGCAAGCTTTTGCTTCTAGCCAATGCCGCAAAAGAAAATTATTCGAAGATTACGAATTGTTGCCTGTGACAAAACTTTGACAAGTTTTTAAAATATTATTATGATGATTACTATAAAAATCCGACATAAAAATTTTTGCTCAGTTGAGATGAAAATGGATCGGAGGTACAGATTTTTTTGCAAATTTTTTAAAAAATAATTATTAGCAGAATCTGAAAAACTATGTCAAATTAAATGAGAATTAGAGAAAAATTCCATTTTTAATCGTGTTGTTCGTTGAAATTGTTTGTCGTTCATTTTTAGTGAGTTTTTTTGGAAAAAAAATACAACGAAAAATTTTTATCCGACCTTCGGTGGTTGACAAGGATATGGATCTGATCTAGACAGTGAACTTAATAACCAAAGGAACACACAAACGATTTTTTTTTCACAATTTGTTTGCTTTCAAATCGAGCTAAAATAAAACTAACTGCTGTAATAAATTGTGATTCATCATTCACTTAATCATTTTTTCCTAATTGGCTGTCTTGCTTCTACTTTGTTTGTTTTACTGTCCCTTATAATTGCCTATCAAATTCACTGTCTAGATCAAACAAGTCAGTCACTCGATTTTCTTCTAAATTTAAAAAAAAAGATAAAAAAGTACTGAAGACACTTACACATGTCATATTGAATTGTCGTTTTTATCAGGAAAAAGTCTTAAAATGTGTTTTGATTCCAATTTGAGTTTTTGCGGCTTGACTTTTTTCTTGTTTAGTTAAATTACATATCAATTGCTAAAACGAAAGAAACTCAACTTCATATTTACACAGATGCAAAACGCGCAATAACCGTGAATGAAAATAGATTCTAAAGTGAATTTTAGCTTTTAGAGCTCCCCACACGGAATGTTCTAAAAATCAATTAAGTTTACTCATATTAGGCTACAAAAAAAGCAATTTTCAATAATTTTTTTTTGAAATTCATAGTTTTAAGTGTTTTTTTTCTTCGATTTCTGAAAGCCGAAAAAATTCTGAAAACAGTTTTTTCTACTTTGCTTAAACTTTTCCAATATATAGATAGATTCAATTAATCATTGTTTTGACATTTTTTTGTTTTATACATTGGGTTTTATTGACTTTCGTGGTCAGCAGTTGTACAGTTACTTTTTTTGCTGAGTTTCACAAACTGTAAAAGTCATTGCCAATTAAATTTGGCAATCCTCATATAGATTTGAAAAAAGATCTCTCTGACAGATTTAGATTTAGAAAAAATAGATGTCCCAGGTCAGAAAATTTTTGCTCGTAAACGCTTATTTTTCAGACAAATTATCAATAGCTTGAAACTTCAAGTTTACTCGCACAAAATTTTAAGATATGAAGATATGAGCGCTTGGAACTTTTTGAATATAAAGCTCTATATTAATTCCGCCTGACCAAAATTTTGCTTTTTGTAGATCATGTATCTCAACCATTACAGCCGCTGCCTTGAGCGAGATTGGTCCAAAAGTTATATACACTAACATTCTCAATTTTTTTTCAAAAATGATAACTTTATATGCAATTTCGAAAGCAATTCAAAAAGGCAAAATTAAGTCAAATTCACACATACAACTATTGATAAGTTGTTTTAGGGATCATTAAAAGTAACAATATTAAATTATAGTCAGGCAAATCCATAGAGTTATTCAGATCATTCAGTCCTTCTGTTTCAGAAAAAGTTAGTTGGCATGGTGATTGAGAACAGAGTGCAAATCACAGTGATCAACCCTAAGAGCATCACTATGGGCCAATTGTATGGCCAGTTTGACCCCATCTCACACGAGTGGAGTGACGGGGTCCTAGCTGTCTCTTACAGGGCATTCGCATCATCCACTGTAAGCAGTTTTTATGGTTATTTTTACAACTAAAGCTGTGGCGTGCGCAGGAGTTTTTAGAAGGGGGGGGGGTCCGAAAACGTTTAAATCGCATCAACCCCCCCCCTCCACCCTCCTCAGTTGTCGTGGCCAAATTTTATCAGAAATTTCCATTACAACATTATTTTACGAATGTAATTTCTGGCTGCTGAGACAAGACGATTTTCTCCAGACAATTTCACCGATACACACTAAAATTGTATGGTCAAAACTTATTTTTTGGCCAAGAATAGCAACATAGTTAAAAAATCTCAGGTGGTTTAGAAAACTTAAACCAAATTTGACCGTTCCGGGATTTCGGCAGAGCTCAAAAATTGGTTGATCTACATTAAAGGAAAACAATCTTCAATCCACTTTTCGAAAAATTTCTGTGCTCATACCACTAGGCATGCGAAAACAAAAATCGAAAAAGTAGAAAAAGCGGTAGATACTAAATCATTAACATTCAGCAAATATTTCAGCTCTCTAAGAAAATTTAGGATTCTAACTTATGTTATCCCTTTTTTCGATTTCTGTTGTCATATGGCCAGAGGCGTGAGCAGAAAATTTTTCAGCGAATCAAATTCATTTTTGTAAATTCGTTTTTTTTCCAGACTTTGGACCGTAAGTGGTTGATATTTGACGGTCCGGTGGATGCAATCTGGATTGAGAACATGAACACAGTGCTGGATGACAACAAGAAACTCTGTCTGATGAGTGGGGAGATTATCCAGCTGGCCTCCACCACTAATATGGTGTTTGAGCCTATGGACTTGGAAGCGGCCTCTCCTGCTACTGTTAGTTTCAGTTACCTCTCATAATAAATTGCAAAAATTTGGAACAGACAGAACTAATTAAAATTAGCAATCTGCATTTTATCAATTTTTATCAATCTCCGCGTTTACTGGCAATTTGGAACAGACAGAACTAATTAAAATTAGCAGTCTGCATTTTATCAATTTTTGCAAGCAATTTCAACTTTTTACGCGGAGATGTACCTGAGATGTAAGTTTGTCTGAAAATATTAGTCTTTTCAATAGGTCAGTTGCTGTTTTACAATATTTTTGCCTCTTTCCACTCTCTAGTTTTTTCCAACTTTCTATTTTTTCTCAGTTATAAACCTAGTAATGTAACTTAATTATCGTCCTGTGCAATTAATTAATTAGATTTAATAGTTGTCGATTGAACCAAATTAGCTGGTTATTGCTTAAGAAGCGCAGATTGTTTCAATCACACTTACACAAACGCAAATTTAAAAAAATCGGAAAATCAGTTGTTGAAAAATAATATCTGCTCAACAAGAGGCGACAAAAAAGTGACGTAAAAATCACAAAAAGCTACCCAGTATCATCAATCTCTCTGACTCTTTGATGTTAAAAAACTGATTTTAGTTTGAATAAATGATATCATTAACTAAATCTTGAATCAAAAAATTTTAAACCTGAGAATAACCTGGGTTTTGATATGCAAAATAGGCGTTTTAGAAGAAATCGAAAATCATAGATGGAAAACTTCCGAGCATAAAGTGTAAAAAAGTGTATAAAACGAATCGACTTTTTAATAAAAAACTAAAATTTATTCATACTTTTTGAAACCAACCAATGTTTATAGAGACATCCAATGTAAGATAATTGAGAAAAAACGCAGATGGATCTTTGATACATTGGGTTTCCTAAAGCCGCAAGTTTTAGCTGAAATTAGCCTGCAATAGTAAAAAAAAAGAAAACAGTCGATAAAAAAATAGTAATTGTTCTTTGATTAAAAATCATAAAAAGTTAAAGTTGCCTAATTTGATGTAAAAAATTTTATAATCCAATAAAACATCCAGTTTTTTAATGAAATAAAATAAACTGCAATTATTGTGAAAAATTTGTTTAAAACCAATGATGGTTGTGTAAAATCGATGATCAATTGAACTATAAAGTTTTTTTTCGCTAAATTAAAAAAAAAAAAATTTTCCTAATGTTGTTTAAAAAATATTTATAATCAATTGAAAAATCAAGCTTTTTTACGAAATTAAAATTTATTGTAACTTTAAAGAAAAATTGTTTAAAACCAATGATAGTTAATAAAACTAAATGATCTATTTAAAAATCAATTTTTTGCAAAATAAAAAAAGTAATAAAACGTTTGTAAAGATGTTCATAATTTAAAAAAATTTTAATTATTGAAAACATCAAGTTTTTATGCGAACTTAATGTAAATTGCAATTTTTGTGAAAATTTGTTAAAAATCGATAGCATTTGTTTAAAATCAATTATAATAAATTATCATGTTTTGTGCAAAAATAGAAAAAAAATGAAATTTTCGTCAAGTTGCTTAAGTCAAAATATTTAAAATCAATTAAATAACCAGCAAATTTACGCAATCAGAAAAGATCGTAGTTTTTGTTAGAAGATGTTTCAATTCGATGCTACTAGTTAGAAACGATAATTTATTGTCTTATTAAGTTTTTTTTCCAAAGATGAAAAAATATATAAATTTTGTAAGGTTGTTCAAAATCGAAAAAACTGGAATCAAGTAAAATGTCAAGCTTTTTAAAAAATTAAATAGATCAAAGTTTTGGAAAATTTGGTTTAAAATTGATGGTATTTGTTTAAAAACGATGATATAAAAAACTATAAACTATAATATGACGATGATAAAATAACAAACTCTAAAATAATAAAAAACATTAATTAAGATGTTTAAAATCAAAGAAGTTAGAATCAATTAAAATATCAAGCTTTTTTTACCAAATTAAAAAAGACTGTTATTTCTGTTTAAAAAACATTTATAACCAACGATACTTTTTTAAAATTGATAATCTTTTAAAATATCAAGTTTTTTTGAAAAATAAAAGAAATAAAAATCTTTTATAAAATTGTTTATCTCAAAAAAATTTATAATCAATAAAAAAATCAAGCCGTTCCACGAAATTAAATCAAATAAAATTTTTTATATAAACGTGTTTAAAATTGTTGATTGTTGTTTAATTTGATGATCCAATAAAATACCGATTTTTTTTGCAAAACCAAAAATGTTTAAATTTTCGTAAAGTTGTTGAAAATCGAAATATTTATAATCAATTTAAATATAAAGCTTTTTTACGAAATAAAAAACAGATTGTACCTGTTGTTAAAAAAAATTGCTTGCAGCCTGTAAAAAAATAGCTTGTAAAAAATTGCATATCAAGTTTTTTGGCAATGACCCATTAAAATATCAAGTTTTTTGGCAAAATAAAAAAAATATATTCGTAAAGATGTTTTAAATTAGAAAAATTCATAATCAATTAATATATCAAGCTTTTTTTCGAGACTAAATTAGATTATAGTTTTTGTAGAAAATTGTATAAAATTGATGATAGTCTCTTATTTTGCCAAAATTTTACAAAAACACAAACATATCTGGCAATGGATTATATTTTTGCCTTCATAAAGAAATCTTTGAGAGATGATTTTGTCTCATCTTAACAATGTTTACCTTCAAACTTAAATTTCATAAAGACTTCATTTTTGGTTAAAGCTTCCCGCGGGAGGTAATGGAAAAAATAACGCAGTTAAATTAAATCTATGAGCTCAAACTGTTGAACGGCTCCCCATTTTTTTTACTTTGTTGCATATCTTTCTTTACGTCCATGAAAAGAAAAAAATTAACCAGCTCACAACAAAAAAAACTTACAATAAAAATGATCGATCCGAATTAATTATTTTTAAATCATAGATTTTGATAAACTATCAAAAAAATTGATTAGAATCAATATATATTTATTTAAAACTTTATGAAATGCATTTATTTACTTTGAAAACGAGTCAAATTGAGTTATGTTTTAAATTTGATGAGAACTTTAAAGAGACAGCCCGCGTTGACCTCCATACACCGAAAATGCTCATCATACAATTCCATAAATCAAGTTGGCGGGAAAATGCTTGTCATACAATTTTCATACATTTACCAAAAATGGGTGTAAAAAGATATAAAGTAACTTCTGCGGCTGTTTGATTCTAACAAAACAATTTGGTAATAAAAAACAGAGGTTTTTGTTTTTTTTTCCTAAAAACAAGGTCTTTGTCTCTTGTGTTTGGTTGCAAGTCATACAATCATGTGTTTGGTTAAATCATACAAGTTCCATATATGGAAAAATGCTTATCATAGAGTTTTCATACATTTTTCTGTACGTATGGAATTGTATGAAATTGTATGACAAGAACTTTCTCATATATGAAAATTGTATGATAAGAAGTTTTGGTAACCCGGGAAATCACAAAATTACCATATAATCGTCATCAAAAATTTTATACTGAGAGTGGAGGCGTTAATAAAAAAATTATATTTTCAATTTTTGCAAATTTATTTTTGTTACAAACATTGATTGGAGTCGAGCTCTTTTAGCATATTGCCTGCAATATAACGCGCTCTGAATGAGCAAACTGTATAGAACGTAAACACAGTTTTCTCACATTATAAATTACACGTGATTGTTTCATATATGAGAAACTTACGTACCGAAAAAATTCTTTATTTCTGACCTGAAATACTTTGTATCTAATCTAATACTTTTCTAATTAATACTTTCTTAAATGTTTAAATAAAGATTGGATTTTCTGTAAATACTTTATTTCTCATTCTAATTCTAATCAGACTTTAGCTAAATCTAGGCTATTTCTAGCTAGAAAATAATCTCCTGGTGAGGCTCGAACCCCCGACCTTCTGATTGACAGCTAATTGCCCTATACACTGTGCTAAAAATTACCCTATGCACTGTGCTACAGCCCTTGATACATTTCCCTAGTTTTAGGAGAATAACAATGTTATAACAAGTGTAAGTTTGCATTGTTTTCGGTACCGCTTTTCTGTATACTCGAAGCATGTTTATCTCGTTGCGGTTGAGCAGTGAATGGATTTCTGGTTATTTCTCCAGAAACTGTCTGTTTCTAAACTAGAAAAGAAATATATCCTTCTGCACGGAAAATACGAGAAAACTAGGCAAGATAATCTACATAGAATTTCTATCTAGAAAAACAGCTTCCGTTGCGTACGCATACTCATTTAGGTTCAATGTATTTTGCTTTATGTTTGCTCTGCGCAGGCTCTTTTTCAAATTTAAAAAAATATCCGTGGTTCACAGTTTTACCATTCCCATCAATCGACATCAGCACGTAGTTTTACTCAAAAAACACTTTAGAAAGTTCAAAAAGCAATGGATTGAAAGTTCAAATAGTGTAAGAGTTCAGAAGCTGGCCTGAGGCTTTTGAGAGTCACAAAGCACAGAGCACCAAAAACAAAAGAATTGTTCAATAACGTCAAAATTGGAAATATTTCAGCTGATAGTCAGTTTTTTAATGAAACCACTATAAGTATTTTTGCAGTTCTTATAGGATTTTTCCGGCTCTTCTTGTGAACAAAAGGCAAATTGCTTCGGTTTTGAAAAAGCAGTTGCTTTTTTCTTTATTATTATTATAATTTGCTTCAGCATAAAGGATGTAACTGCGGTAATTTTGTAAATAATTTGTTCAAGGATTTGTTCACAAAATAAGTAAAACTTTCAAGGATAAGCTGCAGCATTATGATGTTTTTTGTTGTGTAAATTAACCAAAAGAGTAAGCCTCTAAGATTTAAACCATGGAGGAGAAACCGCTATAAACTAATTGACACAGGAAGACATACTGATACCGAATGAGTTACTGCTCATGTTGGAAAGTTATCCCGTACCAAACTTTTGTCACAATTTCACGTCTGATCATAAAATTTTCAGACACTCGCTGTTTTCCAGCTCTGTGCGTATATCTATTTCACATGTGATCACTTCTACAAACAT